TTAGGAACCGTTCTATTGCTCGGCATGGTCTGTGTAACTGTCAACAAACATGAGTCAGTTTGGACCAGGTGGACTGTGTGGAGCAAACACTGTTGCCTCAATGTTTTTCCATCTCCCAAACAAATGCAGAATGGTTTCATGAACAGCAGATTTCAGACACCTTTCAAGGCTTCTCCAATCATCAGATCTAAACATCATTAAACCTTTGAGGAAGTTCAGAAGCAAACAGTGTGAAGTTCCATTTCTGCAGATCTGGAGTGTGAGGGAGGACCTCTGTTTTGTGCTCCTGTGCTCTGTCTAAACATGCATCATGAAGGATTTGTTTTTATTAAATGTTGGATCTGTTTGTAGCTCAAAAGTTTTGTGTTGTAACTCATGGTCCAGTTTCCCCTCCACACTGATGCAGAAACAGAATAATAACAGAAACCAGAAGGAGCAGCCGGAGACTCTAGTTTTGAAACACTGGTTGTCATTTATTGGTATTTTTTGCTTGTGTGTGTGTTTGTGTGTTGTTGTGTTCTTTGACACTTGCATTAAAGGAGGGACCCAAGCTGTAACAAAGAGCTAGAATATCATAGTAACTCAGGATTGGTTTCTTTTGGGCCATCTATCAACCACCTATCAATGGCATAACAATGACCCAAAACACTCTAGCTGCAATACACTAAAAACACTCGAAAACCTTACCAGTCGCATAGCAACACCCTTGCAACTGCATAGCAACATGCACTACCGGTCAAAAGATTGGGGTCAATACATTTTTTTAAGTGATGAAAACTTACATAATGTATATGGTTACACAAGAATATTAAGCAGCCTAACTTTTTCTTCCTCCCTCCCTTCCTTCCTTCCTTCCTCCCTTCCTTCCTTCCTTCTTTCATTCTTTCTTTCTTTCCTTCCTTCCTTCCTTCCAACCTTCCTTCGATTACATGATTGCACCTCCAAACTGACATTTAACATATATTTAAACATGAAATATTAAAAAAGCTGACCTCCCTGAAAGTCATTGAACAATTCACAAACTTCACTGGTGTATGTGCTGGTGGTCACCATAAGTTTGACAAACACAGAACAGGCCTGTTATTTAAATATACCACTGCAAATGCCAGAGATGACTGTATGAAGATATCACCAAGGCACATAACAGAGGAAGCCACAAAATGCGATGCATCACTCGTAGATTTATAATACATTACTTGTATGGTCAGGTTGAGTGAATAAACCGAACAGTGCCCAATAAGCACAATCTACCATGTTATGCCTTTCCTCTCCCGCCTTTCATTTAATAGTGACTCTGGGAGTTATAAAGCTGAGAACTGTAGATTTTTTGTCTGAAACTTTTGGGGCGAGTGATGTCGTATATTACATGCAGACGGCCCACTGCAGGGAACTGTGAACAGTCACTTCCAATAACACTTTCTCTGCTAAACGGTCTCAAGCGATAAATGTGAAGTATTTACTTTGAGATACGCCTCAAGAGGTTAACAGCCGGAACAACTGGTCTGAAGAAGTTTTGCAGAGACTGTTTACTGAATTTTTGCCATGGAAAACATGGCAACTACAATATTTAAAAATTAAGCTATATATATATACACTCACCTAAAGGATTATTAGGAACACCTGTTCAATTTCTCATTAATGCAATTATCTAATCAACCAATCACATGGCAGTTGCTTCAATGCATTTTGGGGTGTGGTCCTGGTCAAGACAATCTCCTGTTGATGCTAGAGGTCAGAGGAGAATGGGCCGACTGATTCAAGCTGATAGAAGTGCAACTTTGACTGAAATAACCACTCGTTACAACCGAAGTATGCAGCAAAGCATTTGTGAAGCCACAACACGCACAACCTTGAGGCGGATGGGCTACAACAGCAGAAGACCCAACCGGGTACCACTCATCTCCACTACAAATTGGAAAAAGAGGCTACTATTTGCAAGAGCTCATCAAAATTGGACAGTTGAAGACTGGAAAAATGTTGCCTGGTTTGATGAGTCTCGATTTCTGTTGAGACATTCAGATGGTAGAGTCAGAATTTGGCGTAAACAGAATGAAAACATGGATCCATCATGCCTTGTTACCACTGTGCAGGCTGGTGGTGGTGGTGTAATGGTGTGGGGGATGTTTTCTTGGCACACTTTAGCCCCCTTAGTGCCAATTGGGCATCGTTTAAATGCCACGGCTGACCTGCGCATTGTTTCTGACCATGTCCATCCCTTTATGGCCACCATGTACCCATGCTATCCTATCAATATGGGCCAACTTTTCTAAAGAATGCTTTCAGCACCTTGTTGAATCAATGCCACGTAGAATTAAGGCAGTTCTGAAGGTGAAAGGGGGTCAAACACAGTATTAGTATGGTGTTCCTAATTATCCTTTAAGTGAGTGTGTGTTTATATATATATATATATATATATATATATAATTAGAATGCACTTTATATTATTTATTAATATAAATAATATAAAATATTTATATCTATTCTTTTTTTAATCTTTTATTTATTATTGTTTTTTGGAGGGTAGTCCTGTAGGACTGAGTATAATGCTTGATACAGATATTGGCATGCTTTAGTCTCTTAAAACTGGGAATTTTCGTACTGCATATTATTCATAAATGTCATGTCCTATATGCGTCTTAATTGTGGCAGTTTCCTTTTATGCGAGACAGATAGCAGATCTCTGATTTAGGGCTTTTAGGACAGTGTCCTGCCTCTATTCGGCTACAAAGGAGTTCATTCTAGAAGGTTTGCAGTGACCTCATACCACTGATCTGAAAAAGAGAGTATTCATTCTCCCACGGGAGCCACAAAGGAGGAGATTGAGCGAGAGGATGAAAAGAAAGAGATGCAGAAACAGATGAGAGGATGAAGAGCTTGTCATATTTTGGACTACATGGGGGGAATGTAGATATTAGAGCAAATGTCCTTAAGGTTTTTTTGGGGGGGAATACCAGCCATGAATGTGTGCATGTGCGTGAATGTGATCAGAGAGACAGTTTGGCATATTTTCATATGTATGTCATGTAAAAAACTCAATCTATTCAAATCCAACTAGTCAAATCAGCCACTTCCAGTAACAGTATGCTTTGTTCACTCTGAAAAAAAAACTTAATATTACAGTCAGCAATGTGTATGAGGACGTGCAATGCTAAAGCCATTATGTAAACGAGTCACGTGCTGCGTTTGTCCAGTCAGTAACACTGACACCGCAAATATGCAAAAACGGACTTTAACCCAGGGTTTAGGTATGTGCAGTGTGAAACTGCAGTTTATGAATACCCAGGATTAACTGTTAATCCCGGGTATAGAATAAGCAGTGCGAAATGTGAATAGAGATAACCCAGGATTACATTTACCCGGGGTTTACAATGACCCAGGGTTAACTATTTCAAGTGGGAAAAGCCCTATGGAGATGCTAAAAAACCCTAAAAAAACCGCTTTGACCTGACTGCAGATACGTTCCAAAGGATCTAAAGGATCCATTCAGAATAACTAAACAGCAACATAACAAATCAAAACATTATCCTGAATGTGTGTGGAAACAACATAAATGTACTGAAATGTGTCTGTGCTTCAAAATAATATGCGATCAGTGCGTCGGGGTTGTTTATACATCAATAATAACGGACTCACATGTTTACTGTACGTCTCCTGTACGTCACCGCAATCCTTTACCTTGATTACAATCCACATCCATCACAACTTAGCGAGACGCTGATTGCTTTATCCAGCCGAGAAACGTAGTTTGCGTATCATCTGGCCATACAGCGGTGGGATGTTTGGATGCTCGTGTTTTAAAGCAGAATAATTCACTGAAATCTCAACGTGAGTCTCTATGCTCCCTGCCATCAGCCTGGTTTTCTTTACATTAGCGCTGTTTTGGACTGATTGTTTGAATGAATTCGCATACTGGATCATTGGACTGAAAACTTTCCCAGAGTTTAGAGGCTTAAAATGATCTGTTCGCAAACAAATAAGTGAAGTGTAAAGGGTTAGAATAGAAATTTCTGCCTTTCTCGTGGATCATCTAACTCCGTGACGCAAATTATGTTAATGGCGCAACTTCACTAATTTATTTGCGTTAAATTATTTTGAGTGTTGAGTGACAAATAGTAGGGCTACTAAAAAAATACAGTCAACAGACTTGAATGTTTCTCTCCGCTTGAAATGTCAGGAGAAACACTTTTTTAAAGCAATTATACGGAAATATATTTTAAATCAAGTTTAAAGTTATTTTCCCATACTTTGCAGTCATAAAAGTGTGGAAATGATGCATTTAAGATGCTCTTTATTGATTTTAAATGTTATTAGTGATTCTATTAACCATCGGCACATAACCACAATATCATAGAGAGAGCCACCACTTAGAAACCGCCTATGTGAAGTTCTCAGGCCAACTCCAACATTATGGCGCAGAGTTTTAGAAATACCACTACATTTCTTTAGAAAACATAAAAAATATAGTTATTCTATTTGTGCTTCTGTCTCATAATTCATCTTTCCATTTTGCATCTGTCAGGATGCAACTGTACTGTATGTGTCTGCACTTATGCTCAATTTTATTGTTTGCCACATTGCCTTCATTTTCCATAAATAGATCTCATCCCTCGTCACAGTTTAACTTGATTTTACGCTGATGGATAGGCGACACACACAGGCCGCGTGTCATTCTGATCTATTAATTAGGGTGTGTTAAGAGTTCCGCCCTCTTTATCCCAGAGCCGGAGGATGAGAGGACGGACAGGGGGGGATAAAAGGATAGAGAAAGAGCCATGGTTCTGTTTGGGTCACATGATCAGATGTTGTGGCGATAGCAGCTGGCCCCTTCGATCTTAACACAGACTCGCTCCCTGCCCTGGCACACGTCTTGCTCTCACTGCATCTCTAGTGTGTGTGTGTGTGTGTGTGTGTGTGTATGTGTATGTGTGTGACAGCTGTCTGCTGCAGGACATTGTATCACTGTGACTTACTATGTCACTCTGCTGTTGCTTTTTTTACAGGGATTATGGATCCAAACGCAAGTCAGGTAAGACAGCCTTTTATTTACCTCTCGTCTCAGTGTTAAACCTGTTGCCGGGTTTAAGTACTGCTCACTAACTCAGCATGCCCTCCCTGTTATTGCGGCATTGAATGACTTGCTGTTTTGCACTCAACTCAGGGGAGGGAAAGGGTTTTTGACTGAGTTTCTTTTAAGAATTGGACATGACTCAGAGGTTTGTAGAGCTCTGGGAGTGTCATCTGTAAAAGGTTTGGGAATAACTGGCAGGATTTTGAAAGAAAGCCACATGAAAGTATGTGCATTTGTACTTTCACACTGTTGCCAAAGTGGTCTCAGCCAAGTCGTCTAGCTGAAGGCACAGAAAAGCATGTAACCAACCTGTGCTAGCAGTTGGTGCTTTTTTATTTGTATTTATTTATTTTCTGAATGTGCATGTATAAATAAATATGTATCATTATTTTTGTTATTATAATGTTAAGGCACAGTGATCTGATTTATGACAAGGATTAAACCAAGTTTCCTTTGCATAGCATGCTAGGGTGTGTGTGTTTTGTGAGTGAACAGCCGTTCTGCAGTTGGGATCCACACACACACACACACACACACACACACACACACACACACACACACACACACACACACACACACACACACACACACACACACACACACACACACACACACACACACACACACACACACACACACACACACACAGTTGAACACTAATGTAATTTGGATTGGAGTGAGCATTGGAGTTCCTGTCTTTTCTCCCACACACATCCCTTTGAAACATTTTCCGTTTTTGATCTGTTTGCTTTCCGCTTGCACACACATATTCATTTGTTATTACAATATTTGAAATTCGCCATTTGGATTTAGTTTTTGTTTTGATGTATTAAATAATTCCAGATGTCATTTTATTTTCTGTCCTTTTAACATTTATCTATGGAAGTTTGTTTCCGACATGGAATAATAAATTATTATTTTTTTACAAGTTAATTGCGACTTTTTTATCTCACAATTCTGAAAAGCTTATATGTATCTATAATTTCAATTAGGAAACGCACGCACGCACACACACACACACACACATGCGCGCCTCTAGTAGCAAAACTTACTGTACATACTGTGCCTTTAAGACATTATTTTAAGACATAAAGACGTCCTTGAGTATGGTGATTTCAGGTTTTCAGGGGATTTCATGGGGATTTCAGGTTGGATCATTTTAGTCTTGTCAAAACCTTATCCAGACTAACATCCACCCTTAGGTATTGTTTTTTTAGACCAGTAAATAGTTATTCTTAAGAAACATACATAGTTTTGCCCCCTTGCAGTATTTATATGGTCTGCAGTGTCTTTTCTAATATTTGTCTTTCCATTCATCATCTGTTTGTTAATTCACATTTATTTGCTCTCACAACATTTGAAAATTGCTAACATTTGGATTAAATTTGACCAGCAGCTGAAGTGATGTAATGAGCAATTCCAGCTGTTGTTTTTTTTCCCCCTTCACTTCTCATTTGACAATAAATCATATGTAACCACTTATCATTAGTCTGTTGGATCACTGGAATTTGTATTATCAACATCATCCTCTTTTTCCATTCTGTTTTTTAAGATGACCACTGGATGCTCATCTGTCAGACATCAGTAATCATTTGTGTTTGCTAAAAGTGCATAACATCCTGAAGATGTTATACTAATTATTCAAGTATGCATTTTGTATGTTTGGAAATTTGTAATTTATTTTTATGTTTAAAGATCTGTGGTTTCAAATGGTCCCCATCTTTCTGTCAGTTTGAACGTCTGGCTCTTTGGTTTCCAACCGAATGAATTACCTCAGAGTTTAGCAGGTGGAAACTGCAGCTGAGGAGTGTCATTATCAAAAAGAAACTTGTTTTAGGCGTCCTTACAGTATATCCTCTGGCAGATTCATTTGCTGATTCTTTTAGTAGCAAAACAAGTGAAAGGCTGCATCCGAAATCGCATTCTTCCCTATATTGTAAGTGAAATTATGACAACATTATGTGACAAAAGAAGTTTGTCCGAATTCATAGTACTCATAAAAGAGTATAGGCAAAAAGTACCGAGATGATCTACTACTACTACTGTACATATGATGGGTAGGATTTGTGATAGGATTTCTGCTAGGTCACATGACAGTGACATCATGGCGAATGTATATGTGGGGATTATATTCATACAACACATATTCAGACTATATAGAACAGACTTTTTTTAGCACTCGCAAAGTAAGTATTTATTCAAAATAAGAACCTACACAAGAGAGTATGCTGTTTCGGATGCAGCCAGTATTTATGAACTAGTCATTCACTGAATCGATTCTTTCAAAGATGCTGATTCATTCATGAACGAAACTGTGTGTTGCATGAAGACACACAATGCTGTTGTGGAATTGTGTGGAACTGTTTCAGTTGGCGGAGAAAAAAAAACAGACTAAGTTATTGGAAATATTGTGTGTAAGTTACACATTATTAGCTTCCTGTTTATTGAATTGTTGTATAAAAGCTATAAAATTTGTTGTCGTTTTTCGGATCATCCGCACGGCTGTGATTTGGCTCTAGTCTCGCGTTGAAACTGATCACATTCAGTAACAACAGTATACATGCTTATATTATACAGTATTACTTCCATTCATCCGTCCATCCATTTTCTTCCGCTTATCCGGGGCCGGGTCGTGGGGGCAGCAATCTAAGCAGAGACGCCCAGACTTTCCTCTCCCTAGACTACTCAGCTGGCTCCTCTCGATGTGGAGGAGCAGCGGCTCTACTCTGAGCTCATCCCGAGTGACCGAGCACCTCACCCTATCTCTAAGGGAGCGTCCTGCCACCCTGTGGAGAAATCTCGTTTCGTCCGCCTGTATCCGAGATCTTGTCCTTTCGGTCTTGACCCACAGCTCATGAACATAGATGAGAATAGGAACGTAGATCAACCGGTAAATTGAGAGCTTCGCCCTGCAGTTCAGCTCCTTCTTCACCACGAAAAACCGGTACATCAACCGCATTACTGCAGAAGCTGCACCGATCCGTCTGTCGATCTCCCGTTCCATCCTTCCCTCACTCATGAACAAGACCCCAAGATACTTGAACTCCTCCACTTGAGGCAGGAAGTCTCCACCAACCTGAAGCGAGCAAGCCACCCATTTCCGACTGAGAACCATGGCCTCGGACTTGGAGGTGCTGATTCTCATCCCAGCCGCTTCACACTCGATTGCAAACCGTCCCAGTGCACGCCGAAGGTCCTGGTCTGATGAGGCCAACATGACAAACATCATCCGCAAAAAGCAGAGACGAAATCGTGTGGTCCCAGACCGAACACCCTCCGGCCCCTGGCTGTGCCTAGAAATTCTGTCCATAAAAATTATGAACAGAACCGGTGACAAAGGGCAGCCCTGCCGGAGTCCAACATGCACCGGGAAAAAGTCTGACTTACTGCTGGCAATACGAACCAAGCTCCTGCTCCGGTCGTACAGGGAGCGGACAGCCCTTAAAAGAGGGCACCGGACCCCATACTCCCAGAGCACCCTCCACAGGACGCCACGAGGGACACAGTCAAATACCTTCTCCAAATCCCCAAAGCACATGTGGATTGGTTGGGCAAACTCCAATGAACCCTCCAGCTACCTGGAGAGGGTATAGAGCTGGTCAAGTGTTCCACGACCGCGACGAAAACCCCACTGTTCCTCCTGAATCCGGGGTTCGACTATCGGCCGAATTCTCCTCTCCATTACCCTGGAATAGGCTTTTCCGGGGAGGCTGAGAAGTGTGATCCCCCTGTAGTTGGAACACACCCTCCGGTCCCCCTTCTTGAAAAGAGGGACCACCACCCTGGTCTGCCAGTCCAGAGGTGCTGTCCCCTACCGCCACGCGATGCTGCAGAGGCGTGTCAGCCAAGACAGCTCCACAACATCCAGAGACTTGAGGTAGTCAGGTGCCTTGCCACGAGGAGCTTCTTAACTACATCTGTAACTTCAGCTTGGGTTATGGACAAGTCCCCCTCTGAGCCCTCTGCCTCTGCTTCCTCAATTGAAGACATGTTGGTCGGATTGAGGAGATCCTCAAAGTATTCCTTTCACGTCTGAGGATATCCCCAGTTGAGGTCAAAAGCTGCCCACCTCCACCTCCTAAACAGTGTTGCTAGGGGACTGCTTCCCTCTCCTAAGGCGCCGGGCGGTTTGCCAGAATCTCTTCGAGGCCAACCGATAGTCCTTCTCCTCCTAGGCCCGATTTTTTGCCTCCACAACCACCCGGGCTGCAGCACGCTTGACCTGCCGGTACCCATCAGCTGCCTCAGGTGTCCCACAAGCCAGCTAGGCCTGATAGGACTCCTTCAGCTTGAGGCATCCCTTACTTCTGGTGTCCACCACCGGGTTCGGGGATTGCCGCCTCGACAAGCACCAGAGACCTTACGGCCACAGCTCCAAGCGGCCGCGTCGACAATGGAGGTGGAGAACATGGTCCACCTGGACTCAATGTCTCCAGACTCCCTCAGGATCCGGTCGAAGCTCCGCCGGAGGTGGGAGTTGAAGATCTCTCTGACAGGGGATTCGGCCAAACGTTCCCAACAGACCCTCACAGTACGTTTGGGTCTGCCGAGTCTGTCCAGCTTCCTCCCCTGTCATCGGACCCAACTCACCACCAGGTGGTGATCAGTTGACAGCTCCGTCCATCTCTTCACCCAAGTGTCCAAGACATACGGCCAGAGGTCGGATGAAACGACCACAAAGTCGATCATCGACCTCCAGCCTAGGGTGTCCTGGTGCCACATGCACTGATGGACACCCTTATGCTTGAACATGGTGTTCATTATGGACAAACTGTGACTAGCACAGAAATCCAATTACAGAACGCCGCTCGGGTTCAGATCAGGGGGGCCGTTCCTCCCAATCACGCCCCTCCAGGTGTCACAGTCGCTGCCCACGTGGGTGTTGAAGTCCCCCAGTAGAACGACGGAGTCCCCAGTCAGAGCACTTTCCAGCACCCCTCCTAAAGACTCCAAGAGGG